GGGGAGAAGGTATAGATGAACATTTATCTGTTTTAAGTTAAGGAATTCACTTGTACTTAAGCATAAACAGTGCTGAGCGTGATGTCTCACACCTGTAATCCCTGTACTTTGGGAGGCTGAGGCAGGCAGATCACCTGAGGTCAGGAGCTTAGGACCAGCCTGGTCATCATGGTGAAACCTGTTTCTACTGAAAAATACAAAAATCAGCCAGGTGTGGTAGCACATGCCTGTAATCCCAGCTACTTGAGGCTGAGGCAGAAGAACTGCTTGAACCCAGGAGGTGGAGGTTGCAGTGAGCAGAGATTAAGCCACTGCACTCCAGCCTGGGTGACAGAGCAAGACTCCGTCTCAAAAAAAAAAAAAAAAAAAAAAAAAAAAAACCCCAAACACAAAACAAACAAAAAAGTATAAACAGGAAGAAGATCTAACTACATCATTTTAAACAACAACCACAATTTTAAAAAGCTTTATCAAAAACCACCATAAAGAAAATAAAGAGGCGGCCGGGCGCAGTGGCTCATGCCTATAATCCCAGCACTTTGGGAGGCCGAGGCGGGTGGATCACGAGGTCAAGAGATCGAGAACATCCTGGTCAACATGGTGAAACCCCGTCTCTACTAAAAATACAAAAAATTAGCTGGGCATGGTGGTGCACGCCTGTAGTCCCAGCTACTCGGGAGGCTAAGGCAAAAGAATTGCTTGAACCCAGGAGGCGGAGGTTGCAGTGACCCGAGATCGTGCCATTGCACTCCAGTCTGGGTAACAAGAGCGAAACTCCGTCTCAAAATAAATAAATAAATAAATAAATAGGCAAATAATGAACTGGAAAAAATATTTGCTACATATTTGACCCAAACAATTAACTTCCTTAATATATAAAAAGTGTTTCAATTCAATAAGGAACGCATAAGCATTCCAAAGGGAAACAAAGTGTATGCATCTATATTTCACCAAAATAAGTATAAATTATGGATATGATAAAAAGTTTCACCTCACTATGAAACAAAGAAATTCAAATTAAAACAAGCTACCACTTTGGCAAATATTTACAAATGATAATGCCTAGTGTTAAGGATGTGAAAAAACAGGCATACTCATATGCTTTTGGAGGACTATAAATTGGTACAACTCTCTGGTGAGGAATTTAGCTTTATGCTTTGAAAGGCTTTAAAATGTTCATTTTCTTTGATCCAATAACTCCCATCACTTCTACAAATTTATGATGAACTCTTCATAAAAGAGAACCTCTTCATACCTAAACAAATGCATCTTGAGTTTGTGTCCTTTGTAGGGACATGGATGAATCTGGAAACCATCATTCTCAGCAAATTGACATAAGAAAAGAAAATCAAACACCGAATGTTCTCACTCATAGGTGGGTGTTAAACAATAAGAACACATGGACACAGGAAGGGTAGCATCACTCACTGGTATCTGTTAGGGGTGGGCTAGGGGAGGAACAGCGGGGGTGGGGAGGTTGGGGAGGGATAACATGGGGAGAAATGCCAGATATAGGTGATGGGGGATGGAGGCAGCAAACCACATTGCCATGTATGTACCTATGCAATAATCCCGCATGATCTGCACATGTACCCCAGAACCTAAAGTACAATTAAAAAAAAAAAAATATATATATATATAAATGCCAAAAAAACCCACAAATGCATCTTTAGTAAGAGTGAAAAACTGTAAGTAAACTACATGCGTCCAATAAATACATGGCAATATATCCAAATGACAGAATATCAGGCAGCAATTTAAAATTTTCTATATTTCAGAAATATTTAAGAGTTATAGAAATCCTTACACTACATTAAGTGGAAAAGCAAATTAAAACATTAATATAAATATACACATACATAATTTTTAAAAAGGCTAGTTGATACCTAGTGGTATTATGGGTAAAAAAAATTTAATTATCTTCTTTATATTTTTCTTGATTTTTCAGATTTCTTCTCAAAAACACAAATTGTTTTATTTTATTTTATCGAGATAGGGTCTTGCTCTGTTGCCCAGTCTGAGGTGCAGTGGTGCAATCACTGCTCACTGTAACCTCAAACTCCTGGGCTTAAGTGATCCTCCTGACTCAGCTTCCAGAGTAGCTGAGACTATACACGTGTGCCACCATACCTGGATAATTTCTTTAATTTTTTGTAGGGATGGGTTTTGCTATGTAGCCCAGGCTAGTCTCAAACACCTGAGACCTCAAGTGATCCTCTTGCCACAGCCTCCCAATGCACTGAGATTACAGGTGTGAGGCACTGTGCCTGGCCACAGATTTTTTTTTTTTTTGAGACAGTCTCACTCTGTCGTCCAGGCTGGAGTGCAGTGGCACAATCTCAGCTCACTGCAACCTCTGCCTCCTGGGTTCAAGTGATTCTCCTACCTCAGCCTCCTAGGAGTTGAAATTACAGGTGCCTACCACATCTGGCTAATTTTCATATTTTTAGTAGAGATGGAATCTTACCACTTTGGTCCAGCTGGTCTCGAACTCCTGACCTCAAATGATCCAGGTACGTCAGCCTCCCAAAGTGCTGGGATTACAGGCATGAGCCACCGCACCTGGCCCACATTAGTTTTACAGTAAGAAAAAATGGTAATCATTATTATCCTACAGCTGATAAGATAATGTCATGGAGAACCAAGTAGAGAACAAGAAAACTCTGGAAGCCAGGAAGGTACTACTCTTTCAGGTTCAAGGTTATGAAGACAAAGGAGAGGGTAATAAATGTGGGAATTCAAAGAAAGAGAAACGTTTTCTAAACTGGCACTGCCCAATATAATAGACTTTAGTCCTAGGAGGTTATTTAAATTAATTAAAGCTACATAAAATGTAAATTTCAGTTCCTTAGTTCAATTAGCCACATTACAAGTGCTCCATGGCCATAGGTGGCTAGTGGCTACCATAACAGATAGCATGGATTACAGAGCATTTCCATCATTTTGGAAAATTCCATGGGACAGCACTGCTCCATGCATTCCACTCAGGCCTGAGGGATCCAGCTTCCATCTTGTCTCTTCAGCCTCATCCCTTGGTTCAATTTCTCACATCCTTCATGCTCTAACAACAAGCGTGTAAGCACCATGAGAACAGATATCATATCTGGCTGGTTCTCCCAGTCTACTGGGGGAGACATACTACCTGGGTAACTACACATAGTGTTATGTGGACTCGAAGACAGGTGCACAGATTATTGATACAGCAAAGAGCTCAATCTAGGGTTCAAGAAGACTTCCGAAGGAGGGGTGGGCGCAAACAGAGGAAAAGAGAATATTCTAAGTAGAGAAAAGAGTGTGATATGAAAAAGGGAACAGATGAGAAATAGCGCAGCACAAGGGAGGAAAAACCAGCAGGTTAGACACTGATTCATTCAACACACAGTTGATGTCCCATGGGCCAGGCCTGAGCCAGCTCTGGGCACCCAGCAGTGACCAGGACAGCTCTGGTTCCTGTCCTCGTGATGCTTATATGCCAGGCTCACCAGTACTGCTGGAGTGCCAAGGGTGAGGCAGGGAATGTCAAGAACCGAGGATGGAGGGAAAAGGCCAAGTCAAGGGCTCCGCACCTCATCTTAAGGATCCTGGTTAGTTTGCTTCTTATTCTAGCAATGGACCCCTCTTTTTGGCCTTGGTGGGAGCTGGAGTCCCCATCCTTATCTCTCTCCCAGTCCCCCGCTCTGGTCCCTACCACTGCTGCAGGCGATGGGGAGCTCTTCAAGGGGTGCTGGCCGCAAAGGGCACAGTCACCACTTTAGGGAGACCCCTGCTGCGGCCGGCTGGGGTGTGGATTTCAGAGGTGTCAGAACAGGGACAGGAAGTGTGGCTGAGAAGCTGCTGGAGTCACCTCCAAGACCTGAGAAAATGGCAGGGCCGACTTGAGCGACTTTGAAGCAGGAGAATCCGCTCCAAGTTCAAAGAATGCCAGGGAAGCCGAGGGAGGGAGGGCACGCGCCGCAGCGGGGAAGATGTGTCTGTGGGGCCAGGCTCGGAGCCTGGCGGCGGTCGTCCTGGGAGAGGCCCCGAGGGAAGACCAGCCGAGGGGCACCGGCGGCCCGGGCAAAGGGTGGCATCGCAAGGGAGAGGGGAGTGGGGGCCAAGCCGGGCCGGAGCGCGAGGCAGCAGGTGTGCAGGTGCCGGGGCACGCGGGACGCAGGAAGGAAGCCTCCAGTAGACCGATCTCGACCTTGCCCTTGAGCATTTACCAGAGGCGGGCAGGGCACATTCTCCTCAACCCGTGCCCCGTCGAAGCCGCGGGCACGCGGGGCCTGCTACAGGACCGACGCTTCCGGACGCCTGACACCGGTCCCCGCACCTCCAGCCCTACCGCCCGGCCCCTCCCACAGCCCACCGCAGCTCCGCCCGAACTCCACGTCCGGTCTCCTCAGAGCCTCCACCAACCCTTCCCACGCCTCGGCCTCGCACCGCTGTCCCTTCACATCGCCAACCCCCCACGTGGCCGGCGCCCCGCCCGGCCGCAGCCCTCCCCGGCCGCGGTACCTTGGGCTCTCGAAGGAGCACCCCCTGCGCCGCAGCGCCGCCCTCTTCTGCAGCAGGAGCGCAGCGGCCGCCCCGCCGGGTTCCGGCTCCATCGCCCGGGGCGGGGGCCGCGGGCTCGGGCGCACTCGGGTGGGCTCGGGCCTCCGCCGGCCGCTCGGCTAGCGCGCCGCAACCCACGCCCCGCCCCATACCCCTCGCCGGGTCCAGGCCCCGCCCCTTCCCCGCCCTGAACCAGGGCTCAGCCAGCCTCGCGCCTCTCATCCTGGTCCAGGGACCGCCCCGAACCCCAGCTGGGTTCCTGACAGGACCCTCCGCCGGGCCCGAGCACCACTCCGCGCCCGCTCACCCTGGTCCCGGCCCCTCCCCGCGCCCGCTCAGCCTGTTACAGGACCCGCCCCGGTCCCGCCCCGGTCCCGTCCAGGCCCGGCTCCCAACTCCAGCTCTGCTCGCCCTGCGCCCTCAGCAGGCCCCGCCCCCTCCCCGCCCCGCCCCGCGCTCCGGTAACGCCCCCTCCCCGCGCCAGTCCCTCCGGGTTCTTGCCACTGGCTTTCCGCACCTCTGCGGGGTCCACAGGCCCAAAGCGCCCACCCTGTCCTCGACTGTGTCCCGTCCACGACCCCGCCCCTCCTGCTGCTTGCCCCTCAGCACAGACCCAGGCCCCGTTCACCTACCCCTGCACTACTGAGCTCGCGCAAGGCTCTGGCCCTCACCCCAAACCTCTGCTTCCTCGAGCGCAGCCCCCTGCAGCTCGGCCCCTCCTCACCTCAGCACCTCCTGACCCTTTCTGTTATAGCTCCGCCCCTAGGGCCCTCCTGTCCCATGTCCCGCCCACAGGCCTGGCCCCGCCCCCTGGAACCCCGCCTTTTCCCTTCGATGCCCCCAGTCCGCGCCCAAACCCAACTCCACCGCCTCTTCAGTTCTTCATCAACAGGGCCCGTCACAGCCCCGCCCCGCCAGCGAGAGGCCCCGCCCAGCTGCCGCCCCTCCTCCCTTCCTCCCGCGCCCCCGCCCCGCCCGCAGGCTCCGCGCCGGGAAGGATTCCCGCACCCGTGGCTAAAGTGGCGTTCCGCCGTCCGTTCTGCGTTGGCTCCGGGATCCCGCCATCCATCCACGGGAGGTACTGCTGTCGCCTGGTGGTCGTTTGTGGTGCCTGTAAGTCGCTGGAGTTTTGCAGGATACCAGTTGTGGGTTCGAGTGTTGACTGTTAGTTTCTAACTGTGACAACCCTCAACCCCATCATCACTTAGTAAGTCAAATGCATTCTTCTCAGGGCCCTTGAACACTGCACTGTGACTGAGGGCAGCAACCCCATCTGGGTAAAGCTGGGGCCACCATACCGCCTCAATCAGGAGGAGGTGAGCTAGGGCTACCTCAGCAAGCGGGGAGTTTGTCGCAAGCTAGGGAGGTGTGGCTACGCGGGCCTGGAACTGGGATGGTGGAGCAGAGCCTGAGGAGTGCGCTTGTGGGGGGGAACCTGTGCTTGGAGGACTGGCCACTGCAGCTTTGGAAGGCACTGGCTGGGAAACTGAGGCAGTCAGGTTCAGTGGATCCTATGGTCACCTTGGATCACATCACCCCCTGGTGCACATTTCCTCAATGACTTCCAGGTTTTCTTGGTAAGGCCTGAACTCTGTTGTGAGAGAATGAAGGGGCTACTCAGATAGCACTGAGAGAAAGATGTAGAGGAGGCTTTCCGTTTCTCCTTCCAGCCCCTGTGGAGATGCCTCTGGTCCTCCCCTTAGGTTTCCATGAGGTAACCTCCATGAGTTTTTCTCCAATGAGGTATAGTGGAGTTCTGGGTTTTTGCCTGACATCATGAAGTCCTCCCAACATATCTTTTCAGACTTAAATCCCATTATTCCCAGAAAACCTTTACTCTGTGAGATCAGGTTGCCTCCTTTTTCCCAGCCTCATCCTGCTCCTTCTCATTTCTGTCTCCCTGTTGCCCCCACCCTTCATGTGTTCTGCAGTCCCTGAACTTAATTTCCAAATACCCACTGCCCTCTAAAGCATCCCCAGGTCTCCTGCCTCTCTCCCTGGAGTGCTTACCCCTTCCTGAGGACACTGCTCCTGCATGCTTTTTATGTTCAATTTCTCTCCTAGCTAAGTTTTGGGCACCCTATTCCTCCTTTGTGTCTATCTGAAACAGCAACTGTTTGCTAAGTGAATGTGTGTGATTTTAACAAACTGAGCAATATTCATTGGAAAACACATTTAATCTCAAAGTAAACAAAGATGTTTGTACATTAAAGTATTTAATTAGTGAAATAATTATCAATGTAACAAGCTGAAAAATACAGCAAGTTGATACAAGACTGAGGTAACAAAATACTTCACCAAAAATCTAAAGAACCCCACAGAGGGCCAATGTTCAGTGGTTACTGCAGGTGAGACAATTCACAAGAATTAGAGAAAGTCCTTACACAACAGCATGCAGGGGTCTGCTGGAAAAAAAGACAGCCCAGGAGAGTGCAACAGATTTAACAAGAAACGAATTAAAATGTAGAAACTGATTTTCAACTTACTTTGAAGAGTACATAAGAAATTGAAAACTACTCTCTATGCAACATTTTGAATTCTAAGTGGAAAACCATGCATTTTGGCACGAAATTTATTAAAGATTATACCATACTAATAAATTAATTACTATTATTTTATTACTGAATAGTCACAGTCGTTCAGAAATGGATAGAGATTAATGGTTATAGAATGGACAGATGATCTCCTGCGTTGCTGCTGTAAGCCGGGTTTTGAGTCTGCCCATGTCTCAAGTCCATGGTACAAGTTCTCAACACCCAAGAAAATGCAGTTCTCGCTCATACTGTAGTTGTATTTGACATTGAAATTAAAAACAAAAACCTATGGAGCAAACACTGTGATACTGTGACATTCTGACCCTTACTCTCTCATTCCACCTTTGGAATCCTTGGCATGCTCAACTGCAGCTCTGTGCCTGGCTCTTCTGGGCCAATCAGCCTCTAGGATAGTGACTTCATCCTCATTGCAACTGAACTCGCAGATCAAGAGGCTACTGAGTCTGTTGAGTCTTTTGATGCCTTTCTGGAGGAGTCTATGCAGAGTAGTTATACTCAGGGCTAGGAGAGAAGCGAAGTCTTGCCTAAGGAGATATGTGTGGTCGGTACTATTTGTTGAGTGGTCAGGTCCATGAGGGCAGGGATCAGATCTGACTTGTTCTTAGTGCAGGCAGCACTCACTAGTGATGTGAATGAATGGGTGGTTTTATGCAGAGAATCTGTTATTTCTAAAGGACTCGGAATTTTTTTTTTTAAACATGAAACCACTTGACATGTCAAAATGATGTAAAGCTGATTTAAGTCATTTATGGGGTCATAAACTAGATGGCTGTGTTTTTGGCAATGCTCCCCAGCGGTTAAGGACATCAGCAGTGTGGGGGAAGAGCTCTGGGCCCCACCTGAGGAACATAGCAGATGTTGCTTGCAAGTGACTTCCTGTTTAACAGAGCATTTCCACCTGTAAAATGGCATCCTAAAAGGTACACCTCTTGGGGCTTGGGAGGTGGGCGTAAGAGGATACTGACCATCTAAGAAAAAAAAAATGCTCTATAAATTCAATTGGCAAAAGAGAGTGAGTTCCTTCCTAAACAGAATCTCTTCAAGTATCTACTTCCTCAGGTTCCACAGCCTTGCAGGGAGGGAGGGGGCCAAAGTCTCTCACTGGGCACAGTTAGAACAAGATTTCTACTGCTCTCTACCATACTAATCCTCCATCAAGTATTTCAGTTGCCAGAATGCACTTGACTGATCTTGAATGACAAAACATGTTCAATTGAGAGGGACAAAAATTAGTCCTAGGGAGAGAGGCGAGTTCTTGGGACAACAATGTTACCGGCTACCAGCGCCACATGTGTAGACAGCTTTCTATAACTTTCATTTTGGGATGTCATGATCCAGTTGCTTAAAAAAAATACAGCATATGCAAGAAATAATCCCTTCAATGGCTTCATAAACATTTGTGCACTCTGGATAGTCAAGGAGCAAAAACTAGAAATGCTTCCCTCCAGGGGAATAATTTACCCATGGACTTTCACGCTTTGTGGTCGGTGCCTGGACCCCTCTGTCTCAGGCTCTCAGGGTTCCTGCAGCTTGAGGACAAACCAACACTGGGAAGACAATCAGTACTTAAAGCCCATGCTTGGCCTGAGCCCCTGCTTAGAGAGCTGAGTATCTTCCAGCTTTATCTCCAGGATTCTTCCGGTGTGTTCAAGGCTCTTACAGCTTCTATAAGGCTTTTGCAAACAAAGTCTAAAGAGATTCTTCAAGAGTCCAAGCTAACAATGCTCTTGGGAGAGGATGTGGTAGCAGAATCAATCAGTGAGAAGACTAAACCATTTTGAATTGTGATTGTGCTATTTCAAATTAGGCTAAGAGATATTTGTGAAAGAAAAGACAAATTTATAAGGGACAGAAAATTACCTGTTTTTGCGGTGCCTGAAATTCTGAGGTTTTGGATTCGCATCTATACTTCATATGTGAAAAACCAGGACAGCTTGCAGGGTGGAAAATAAGTAGTTGATGTTCCACGTCTTGCACTTTCATCCAAACTTAAGACTTTTTAAAAGTTAACAGGTAGAATCCGATTCGGTGTAGGTTAAAATGTTAACACTGCATGTTCTGTTAAAGGTGTCTGGAGTGTCTGGCATTTTCATTCAGGCTCTAGATGCTGATCTGAATAGTCACTGGAAGAATTAGGTGCACCATCCGTGTGGGTGTGCAAAGCACCCAGTGTCAAGGTTGATGGCATCAGCTTTATCACCTGGAGTTTCTCTTAGCAGGAAAGTATTCTAGTCTTTGCTCAAAAGGAAGATTTATTACTAAGCACAGTAAGGCTCAACTACAAAATGAGACCCGGATGACAACTACTTTCCTCACCAAGTCATTCAAATTTTTAGAGAAGTTGTCATTATTTGGTCAAAATACAGTGGTGGGTCTTTTGGTCATTTTGAAATTGACCTATTACAGTTTACTGGTGTAGGTGTTGTTTTGAAGCATCCAGCTCAGAAACTCTTGAGGGTAGCTTGATGCCTGATTAGTGTGAGCTCTGAAACCATGATAGCTGCAAGGACCCAGAAATTCAGTCTCTTTCAGAAAACTGTTTAAGGGTTAACTTCTCAGAGTTAGGCTATCCAAACTAAAGGGGAAGGGGGAAGAGAAGATATTGTGATAAAGAGTAATTTATTATTTTGAATAATGTATTTGTGCAAAATAAGAGTCACTTTAAAATGTGACAAAAGGTGACAGATAAGGACATGGTTCATGTGAAGAGCTCCTAACTGAATGCAGAGGTTGTGTTCACTCCCTGGGCTTTGCTCTCTTGTCCCACAGTCATCAACAATTGTGCCTTTGGACTTGGAAAGTGGAAAACTAGCTGGTGACTGCATTTGGGGCCAAGATTGGGAAAGCTTAAGGCTTTAGGGCCACTCAGCTTCCCATCGTGATCAGGAATCTTGGTGGGCCCTGCCCTGGCAGTGGAAGCAAAGGGGTGAGATGATGGGGGCAGGCCTTGCCCTGCGGGGAGAGGATGGCACCTCATGGCTCCTGCACAGCTGATCCCTATGAGCATATTGGCCTCAGAGCTGCAACATCACAACTTCCCATTCTGGCATGGTGGGAGGGGTGAGAAAAGGAGGGCCTCAGGCCCTGCTAGGAATGGGGAAAGGAAGAAGCAAGCAGACCAGCAGCCCAGTCCACGGTCCTGAAACCAGGTCCTGTCTCAGAAGGGCTGACAGCAAAGAGGCCTGGAAGGGACCCGGGGCCCCAGGGAGCAGGCCTTCCAGATGAATAGCACCCATAGGAACAGAAAACAAGACACAATTTAAGGCATTGTTTGTTTACAGTAAAAGAATGCAAGGGACCCTTAACACAGGAGGAATCTAGGCTCTCACTCTGACCTTCCTCAGTGGACAGGGCTATAACTTAAGGTTAAAGCAGGGCCTCAAAGCGAATGAAGTATGTGATGTCACAAGTCTTGTGCCAAAATGCATGTTTCTTGAAGAGTTCACACTCGCTCACACACATACGTATAGCACGCACACGCACAGGACGCTTTGGGGTTGTACAAAATCTGAGGCAGCCCTGTGGGCGAGCAACCCCGTGCACTTGGGGTGTAAAAAGCCTGTTCCACAGCTGTTCCTTCTCTTGGGCCCCTCTCGCTGTCTACTCTGTGCAGTAGAGAGCACTGTCCACTTTGCAGTAGAGAGCACTGTCCACTTTGTGCAGTAGAGAGCACTGAGAACCCAACATGGGCCGAGTGCTCTCTAGTCGCAGAAGCAGGTGGTGGGCACAGAGAAGGAGAGCGGGGTGTACAGTTTGGGGTCTGACCACCGCCCTGAGAGGCAGTGCTGCAGAATGAGTATCATGAGAGTTGCTGGGGACTGACAGGTGGATCCCACACTGGTGGAGCCCTCTGGGATGGTGAGGCCACAGGCCATGTCCCCTGAGTCCAGCTGTGAGTTTCCCAGCATCCTGGCTCACAGCCTGTGCCCAGGACTGCTCTTCACCACCAGGCCCAGCCTGGATTCCCAGAAGCCTCTGAAGTCACGCCACATCCTGCAGAGACTTACTCAAATGACATAAGATTTGCAGGTACCTAGAAGAGAAAGCTCAGCTTCTTGTTAAAGTTCCGACCTCAGAGGACAAGGGGTAGTCCCTAGGGGAAGGAACAGGCCTTTCCCCTGAGTCTGAGCAGGGTAGGGAGAGGATATAACAATAACAATAGCCACGCCATGTGAAGTGACAGCTGTGTGCCAGGCACTGCTCTGAATACACCACATGCATAGTGTCCTCGAGTCCTCACTTCAACCCCATGGGGCAGGGACTGGAATCATCCTCATTACAAAGATGAGGAAACTGAGGCTTAGGGAGGTTCAGTACACAGTGAGTAAGCAGCAGGGCTAAGACCCCAGAGCCCACGCTCTCAACCCAGCTCCTCCAGTGAAAATCAGACTGCACTTGGGGCAGGAAGACAAATCCTGAAGGCCCAGGGTGTGTGCTGAGAGTGAACGGCAGGAGTTGGCAAAGGGAAGCATGGGAGAAAGAGTAAGTTCAAGGATATCAGAAACCCCAAGACCTTCCCATAGCTCTGCCCCCAGGACAAGATCCTAGCCCCCTTTTCTGGCAGGACTACTAGCCCCAAGGTCCAAGTATTTCTCTCACCTCCAAAAGCTGCCAACAGGCCCTCAGCCCCCAGACCTACTCCCTCAGCACTGCTGTGGAAGGATTTGATTAGAAATAATTTCATCAAAATAAATCCATCTTGGTGTCAATTTGGTCAAATGATGAATTAGGAAAACAATGCCTCTCCATGTACTGGGAGACAGTTATAAGAATGGTCATTAGCAGCACTGCTCACTATAGCAAAAAAGCAGAAAATCCTTCCTGGGATGCCCAACAGAAGAACGAATAAAAACAAAATCAGTAAAAATAAATGAATGACTGCTACATGTGGTGACACAGATGAATCCTAGAAACATGTTATAGGAGAAATGCAAGACACAGAAGAAAATACATAGTTATGGTTCTATTTAAGGAAGTTTAAAAATGCACCCCAGACAGTACATGAAGAAATCAAGTACGTGATCTGGAATTCTAAAAGAATAATCGGCAAACAAATCAGAAGAGTGGTTCTGGGGCACAGGTGGGAGGGAGAGAAACCAAATTAGGAAGAGGCCGTGGTGAGGGACAGCATTCCAAAGCCCTGGTGGCTCTGCTGTTAGGTACATGGTGGCAAGAGGGTATTGCTTAACTGCTGTTGTTTATAGCTATATATATAAAGTTTAAGTATATTTAATGTTAATAAAACAATTTTAAGACATGCAATTCCACAAAATAGAAAATCAGTCTAGTCATTGTGATTTTTCCAGGTGAACAGATGCATTTCTGTCACACCTTTCATACCCCCTCCTGGCATTCCATCACACAGATGCATTGTGATTGACTTAAATCATCCTCTGCTGTTGACTATTCCAGTTGTTGTCAACTTTTTATTATTATATATAACATAGAGTGGGGATATTTGGTTGCAAGTAAATTAGAAATGAAAAGGGGAAAAGGTAGGAAAAAAACTCCCCTCCTCCAGGTCTGAAAATCCAGCAAAAATCCTTAAAAGTTGTAGCCTTGAAAGATAATCCAAGATGGCTGAATAGGAACAGCTCTGGAGTTCAGTTCCCAGTGAGAATGCAGAGGGTGAGTGATCACTGAATTTCCAAACAAGTTTTTACAGCCCACAGACCAGGAGATTCCCAGAAGGAAATGTGTCACGAGTTTCCAGCATGGCTGTTTTAGCTGGTGCACTGGGTCTCCACACAAAAACTCACACAAATCTGGGCAGCTGTTTCAAGTGGCGCCTGGAATGCCCGAGAGACAGAGTTGCCCATTCAACTGAAAAAAAGGGGTCTGAAACAGGGAGCCAGGTGATCTGGCTCAGCAGGTCCCACCCCCATAAAGACCAGCAATCTGAAACGCTCTGGATTGAGAGTTTCACAGGAAGCACAGCTGGACCCAATAAGGTATCCACCATTATCGAGGCAGTCCACTACTACCAAGGCACTCTGCTATTACTAAGGCAGTCCGCCATTACCAGGGCAATCCCGCCATTACCGAGGCAGTCCACCATTACAGAGATAGTATGTCTTTACAGAGACAGTCCACCATTACTGAGGCAGACAGCCATTACCGAGGGCAGTTCTAACTATACCTCTATAAACAAAACCACAAGGAAGTTCACACAGTAGCTGGGCAGAGCCCACAGCAGCTCAGCAATGCCTCTGCTGCCAGACTGTGACTAGACTACCTCCTCGCTGGGCAGGGCATCTCTGAAAAAAGGCAGCAGCACATCAGGAACTTACAAATAAAGCCCCACCTTCCCAGGACAGAGCACCTGGGAAAAAAAGGTGGTTATGATTTCCACTGCAGCAGACTTAAACATACTTTGCCCAGCAGCTCTGAATGAAACAACGGAGCTCATAGCTCAGCACTTGAGTTCCTATAAGGGGTAGACTGTCTCCTTAAGCAGCTCCCCAACCCCTGTATGTACAGAGACACCTCAGAGCTCAGGCTGACACCTGGCAGGTATCCTTCTGGGACAAAGATAACAGAAGAAGAAATTGGCAGCAACCCTTACTGTTCAGCAGCCACCACAGGTGATTACCAGGCAAGCAGGGTCTGGAGTGGAGCTCCAGCAGTCCTACAACAAAGGGGTCTGACTGTTAGAAGGAAAACTAAAAAACAGAAAGAAATAACTTCATTATCAACAAAAAGGATGTCCACTCAGAGACCCCATCCAAAAGTCACCAACTACAAAGACCACAGGTAGATAAATCCACAACGATGGGAAGAAACCAGAGCAAAAAAGATGAAAACACCCACAACCAGAACACCTCTACTCCTACAAGGGATCACAACTCCTCACCAGCAAGGGAACAAGGCTGGATGGAGAATGAGTCTGATGAATTGATAGAAACAGGCTTCAGAAAGTGGGTAATAACAAACTTCCCTGAGCTAAAACAACATGTTCTAACCCAACTCAAAGAAACTAAGAACATTGAAAAACGGTTTGACGAAATGCTAATGAGAATAAACAGCTTAGAGAAGAATCTAAATGAATTGATGGAGCTGAAAAACAACACAATAACTTTGTGAAGCATACACAAGTTTCAATAGTTGAATCGACCAAGCAGAAGAAAGGATATCAGACATCGAAGATCAACTCAATGAAATAAAATGAGAAAGCAAGATTAGAGTAAAAAGAAATGAACAAAGCCTCCAAGAAATACGGGATTATGTGAAAAGACCTAATCTACATTTAATAGGTATACCTGAATGTGATGGAGAGAATGAATCCAAGCTAGAAAACACTCTTCAGGATATTATCCAGGAGAACTTCCCCAACCTAGCAAGGCAGGCCAATATTCAAGTCCAGAAAATACAGACAACACCACAAAGATATTCCTCAAAAAAAGCAACCCCAAGGCACATAATTGTCAGATTCACCAGGGTTGAAATGAAGGAAAAAGTGCTAAGGGAAGCCAGAGAGAAAGGTTGGGTTACCCACAAAGGGAAGCCCATGAGACTCACAGTGGATCTCTCAGCAGAGATACTACAAGCCAGAAGAAAGTGGGGGTGGGGGGCAATACTCAACATCCTTAAAGAAAAGAACTTTCAGCCTAGAATTTCATACCCAGCCTAACTAAGCTTCATAAATGAAGGAGAAATAAAATCCTTTATGAACAAGCTTTTGCTGAGAGATTTCATCACCACTAGGCCTGCCTTACAAGAGCTCCTGAAAGAAGCACTAAACATAAAAAGGAACCAGTACCAGCCACTCCAAAAACATACCAAATGGTAAAAAGCATCAACACAATGAAGAAACTGTGTCAACTAATGGACAAAACAACCAGCTAGCATCAAAATGGCAGGATCAAATTCACACAAAACAATATTAACCTTAAATGTAAATGGGCTAAATGTCCCAATCAAAAGACACAGACTGGCAAATTGGATAAAAAGTCAAAACCCATCCATGTGCTGTATCCAGGATACCCTTCTCACATGCAAGGACAGACATAGGCTCAAAATAAAGTGATGGAGGAAGATTTACCAAGCAAATGGAGAGAGAGAGAAAAAAAAAGCCGGAGTTGCAATCCTAGTTTCTGATAAAATAGACTTTAAACCAACAAAGATCAAAAGAGACAAAGAAGGGCATTAAATAATGGTAAAAGGATCAATGCAACAAGAAGAGCTCATGATCCTAAATATATACGCACCAAATACAAGAGCACCCAGGTACATAAAACAAGTTCTTAATGACCTACAAAGAGACTTAGACTCCCACACAATAATAGTGAGAAACTTTAACACTCCACTGTCAATATGAGACAGATCAACCAGACAGAAAATTAACAAGGATATCCAGAACTTGAACTCAGATCTGGACCAAGGAAACCTAACAGACATTTACAGAACTCTCCACCCCAAATCCACAGAATATATATTCTTTTCAGCACCACATCACATGTACTCTAAAACTGACCACATAATTGGAAGTAAATCACTCCTCGGCAAATGCAAAAAATGGAAATCATAACAAACTGTCTCTCAGACCACAGTGCAATCAAATTAAAACTCAGGATTAAGAAACTAATTCAGAACCACACAACTTCATGGAAACTGAACAACTGGCTTTTGAATGTTGACTGGATAAACAGTGAAATGAAGGCAGAAATAAAGATGTTCTTTGAAACCAATGAGAACGAACACACAATGTACCAGAATCTCTGGGACACATTTAAAGCAATGTCTAGAGAAAAATTTATAGCAATAAATGCCCACATGAGAAGCAAGGAAGGATCTAAAGTTGACACCCTATCATCAAAATTGAAAGACCTAGAGGAGCAAGATCAAAAAAAACTCAAAAGCTAGCAGAAGACAAGAAATAACTAAGATCAGAGCAGAACTGAAGGGATAAGACACACAAAAACCCTTAAAAAAAAAATCAATAAATCCAGGAGCTGGTTTTTTGAAAAGATCAACAAATTAGACAGACCACTAGCCAGATTAATAAAAAAAAAGAAAGAAGAATCAAATAGATGCAATAAAAAAGGATAAAGGGGATATCACCACTGATTCCACAGTAATACAAACTACCATCAGAGATTACTACAAACAACTCTATACACATAAACCAGTAAACCAGTAAACCCAGCACTTTGGGAGGCCGAGGCGGGTGGATCACGAGGTCAAGAGATCGAGACCATCCTGGTCAACAGGGTGAAACCCCGTCTCTACTAAAAATACAAAAAATTAGCTGGGCATGGTAGCACGTATCTGTAATCCCAACTACTCAGGAGGTTGAGGCAGGAGAATTGCCTGAACCCAGGAGGCGGAGGTTGCAGTGAGCCAAGATCACGCCATTGCACTCCAGCCTGGATTACAAAAGCGAAACTCCGTCTCAAAAAAAAAAAAACAACCAGTAAACCTGGAAAAAATGGATAAATTCCTAGACACTTGCACCCTCCCAAATCTAAACCAGGAAGAAGTTGAAACCCTGAATAGACAAATAACAAGGGCTGAAGTTGAGGCATCATTAGTAGCCTCCCAGGTCCATATGGGTTCACAGCTGAATTCCACCAGACATACAAAGAGGAGCTGGTACCACTCCTTCTAAAACTATTCCAAACAATCCAAAAAGAGAGAATCCTTCCCAAATCATTTTATGAGACCAACATCATCCTGATACCAAAACCTGGCAGAGACTCAACAAGAAAAGAAAACTTCAGGCCAATATGCATGATGAACACAGATGCAAAAATCTTCAATAAAATACTGGCAAACCAATTGCAACAGCACATCAAAAAACTTATCCATCATGATCAAGTAGGCTTAATCCTGGGGATGCAAAGGAGGAAGTCAAATTTTCTCTATTTGCAGACGACAGGATTGTATATTTAGGAGACCCCATCATCTCAGCCCCAAATCTTCTGAAACTGATAAGCAACTTCAGCAAAGTCTCAGGATACAAAATCAATGTGCAGAAATCACAAGTGTTACTCTACACCAATAACAGAGTTAGAGCCAAATCAAGAATGAACTGCCATTCACAATTGCTACAAAGAGAATAAAATACCTAGGAGTACAACTAACAAAGGATGTAAAGGACCTCTTCAAGGAGAACTACAAAGCACTGCTCAACGAAATAAGAGGACACAAACAGATGGAGAAACATTCCATGCTCATGGTTGGGAAGAATCAATATTGTAAAAATGGCCATACTGCCCAAAGTAATTTATAGATTCAATGCTATCCCTATCAAGCTCCCTATGACCCTCTTCACAGAACTGGAAAAAACCACCTTAAAATTCATATGGAACCAAAAGAGAACCCACATAGCCAAGTCAATTTTAAGCAAAAAGAACAAAGCTGGAGGCATCACACTACTGGACTTCAAACTATACTACAAGGCTACAGTAATCAAAACAGCATGGTACTGGTACCAAAACAGCATGGTACTGGTACCAAAACAGAGATATAAACCAATGGAATATAACAGAGGACTTGGAGGCAATGCCACACATCTACAACCATCTGATCTTTGACAAACCTGACAAAAACAAGCAATGGGGAAAGGATTCCCTGTTTAATAAATGCTGTTGGGAAAACTGGCTGGCCATGTGCAGAAAGCAGAAACTAGACCCCTTCCTGACACCTTACACTAAAATTAACTCCAGATGGATTAAAGACTTAAGCATAAGACCTAACACCATAAAAACCTGAGAAGAAAACCTAGGCAAAACCATTCAGGACATAGGCATAGGCAAGGACTTCATGACTAAAATGCCAAAACCATTGGCAACAAAAGCCAAAATAGACAAATTGGATCAAACTAAACTCCAGAGATTCTGCACAGCAAAAGAAACAATCATTAGAGTGAACCAGCAACCAACAGAATGGGAAAGAATTTTTGCAATCTACCCATCTGACAAAGGGTAATATCCAGAATTTACAAAAAACTAAAACAGATTTACCAAAAAAAAAAAAAAAACCATTCAAAAGTGGGTGAAGGATACAGACACTTTTCAAAAGAAGACATATATGAGGCCAACAAACATATGAAAAAATGTTCATCTGCTCATCATCACTGGTCATTAGAGAAATGCAAATCAAAACCATATTGAGATACCATTTCATGCCAGTTAGAATGGCAATCATTAAAAAATCTGCAGACAACAGATGCTGGAGAGGATACAGAAAACAGCAACACTTTTACACTGTTGGTGGGAGTGTAAATTAGTGTCTTCAACCATTGTGGAAGACAATGTGGCAATTCCTCAAGGACCTAGAAATAGAAATTCCATTTGACCCAGCAATCCCATTACTGGGTATATATCCAAAGGATTATAAATCGTTCTGTTATAAAGACACATACACATGTATGTTCATTGCAGCACTGTTTACAATAGCAAAGACCTGGAACCAACCCAAATGCTCATCGATGATAGACTGGACAAGGAAAGTGTGGCACATATACACCATGGAATACTATGCAGCCATCCTCTGTAGGGACATGGATGAATCTGGAAACCATCATTCTCAGCAAACTGACACAAGAACAGAAAATCAAACACTGCATGTTTTCACTCATAGGCGGGTGTTGAACAATGAGAACGCATGGACACAGGGAGGGGAGCATCACACACTGGGGTCTGCTGAGGGTAATAGGGGATGAACAGTGAGGGATAGGGAGTTGGGGAGGGATAACATGGGGAGAAATGCCAAATACAGGTGACGGGGATGGAGGCAGTAAACCACATCACCATGTATGTACCTATGCAACAATCCTGCATGTTCTGCACATGTACCCCAGAACCTAAAGTGCAGTAAAATATGTTTTTTTATAAAAAGAATTATATTCAATACAAATCACTTTTGAAAGAAAAAATAGTTGTAGCCTTGCCATGATACACTCACATTTGCCAATACATGAAACTGACCCATTAGTGCTCTGCCGGATCAGCCTGCCCAGGCACTGCTGCCTGTCGTCCTCTCGCTGCTCCTCTGAAGATGCACAATGGGTTTTGCTTAGGGCTACCACTGTTGCTCCTGGCTGGGGCCACCATGTTGCCGAGGCTTCAGGCACACGGCCCTACCTCCTTCCCCACGCCGCCCTCCCAGTAGCTACCATGGGGCTGTCAGCTCCTGTTGGACCTGGAGCCGCTCTGGCCTACTGTGTGTGGTAGGCGAGCTTACATGCTGTGCTCTTAGAGAGTGGCCCTCAGAGCTACTGAGGGACCCCAGAAACAAACAGTGTGGCCAGTGTGAAGGAGGCCAGGATGCTCTTCCTCTCTTAATGCAAGCTGAGGTGGCGGCAGCCTTGTTTAGGTCTATGCACCTTGTCTCAAGGGATCACCTTGAGATGGCTGCCAACCAAAACCCTTGTCTTCCCATCATACAGATGGGTAATTATATTTATTCAATGTACAAATATACATAAAACTCTCCAGAAACTACAGAATTACCATTTCTTGTGTATCATCTTAGAACTTTTATACAGACGAGATCATCCTTTCCAACGTTTTTGCCCTGATCTGCTTCTTTGTAATAACTATCAAGTGTTGAGCAACAGGGCCCCCTGAGAGTCACAGAAGCTTCCAAGGTTTGTTTCTATCATGAACCATGCTGCAGTGAACATTCTTAAACACATCTTTGAGCACATGTGTAAGCACATCCCTAGGACAGATTCCCCAAAGTCAGATGGGTGAGTCAAGGGGATCAGCTGCAATTGATGTGGAGCCTCATGTTTGTTCTTGTATTGGTCTTGTCCTATTGTTTAGTTTGTTGAGGACTAATTCTGAGAATTTGCTAATTCTGCTTCTAGCTTCTTATGATCTGTAATATCAATCAGCTTCTCATATTTGTCTTCATCTGTGTTACAGATGAAAATCCTGCAAGCACAGAGCCTCAGAGCTGTCACTAGAGACCTCCCTCCAGCTTCCAGAACCACTTGGAAGGACCAAGAAGTCTGTGAGCGTGCTGTGCAGCACCATGAAGTCCCCACCCTCCTGGACCCAAATGCCTGGTATGAACTTGCCTTTGCTGAGGTCCCCCAGAGCTGCTGTCTGCAAGGGGCCTCTGCAAAGGCAAGTCTACTCCCAGTCACTACCCCAACTGTCCTCCTTGAAACACCACCCTCTATGCCAAGGAAGGGCTAGGAGTATGGCATAGGAGAGGTGGAGAGAATTTCTGCTTCCCCTGCTAGGAGATGACTCCTGCTTCCCACCCCCCATCCTCTGACTGCTCCCTGGGGAACACACATGTGGACACTTAGGGATAGAAGCATCAGTGCTGCCCACCTGACCCCCAGGGAGGAGAAAGCTTCAGCCCACCCTCATCTGCTGCTGAGGGCTGAGGCAGCCATTTCTCTCACAAGCCTGTACAGCTGGGGCTGTGCTGCCAGTCTTTTGCTTAATTGCAGGGGTTACCAGGGAAGTGGAGGCAGGAGAGGCAGGAGGGCTCAGGGGAAACAAGTACAGAATCAGAGGAGTCAGGCAGACTTGGGTTTCATACCAGCTCCACTGCTCACTAATGTGGGACCTTACAGGTGTGTCTGCCCCTTTCTGAGCCTCAGCATCCTCAGCATAAAATGGAGACAGTAAGAGAATCTACCTCACAGGGATGTTGGGAGAATTCAGCAAATTCCTGCATGTGAAACATTTCACATAACACCCTTCAAGGGACATCTAGGGGCAACCAGGAGAGGGAGTCGTACCATCAGTCAGGCCCAGCAGGCCAGAGGGGGCCCACCTCAATACAGATCCCATGGGTTCAAACACACTGAGAAGCTAGGGACCCCCCTTCACCAGCAGCCTTGCCTGGCCCATGGCTGGCTATCAATGACTTAGCTAGCAGCATTATTCCCAAGGGTTATGGGGCAGGGAGGCCCTTTAGTGAGTCTGGAGGATCCCATGAAGTCAACTCTAGGCAGGGATGACCTAAATAGATGCTAGAAGCTGATATTACAGCTGCACACAACAATCCCCCAGTGGGTGTTTCTGTGGCATTTCCTATTGTGGGAAAGACACAGGAACCAGATTCAATGTTCTGGTCTGGAGCTGGGCTTAGTTCTAAGCTGAGCAAGGGGGTGCCTTGTCTCAAGGGAAGATGCTGATCAGAAGAGGGTATCTCAGAGTGTGGCTAATGGGCTCTGAAGGAAGAAGGGAACCCTGTTTTCTAAGGACCCTTAGTTCCAAGGGTGGGAGAGGATATTTCAGGTGACAAGCAAGATTTTGGTGACTTTACCTGAGGCCTGTTGCTTTTACATGCATCATCCAAATGTTTGTGCCACAGTATTGCATGAAATCGGGAACCAGTTTGAAACTTGTAAACATTGCCTGATGGGTAGAGAAACCATGGGTTAAGAAGAGGGCCACACAGGCGGGTCAGCTGGTAACTGTAGCATGAGGAGAAATGTAAACACGGGTAACTAAACTAGGAAGGTCAGCCCCAGGTGAGCTGGAACATGCAGAGAAAGCAGCCTCCTGGGCTCCCTCCAGCTGTCCCTTTGGACCATGGCTTTTAACCATTTTGGGGCCATGGGTCCTTTGGCTGTCTGGTTAAGCCTGTGGACCATTTTCAGAATAATGTTTCAAATGTATAGATAAAACGGAAATTGATAATACTCAAATACAGTTATTAAACTACTAAAAAACAAATCAGCAGTAAAATTCTATAGGTGCTTCTATATTAAATCACTAAGAACAAGATCTAGTACAGGTTTGATACTGCACTGTGATTTCAAAGAGATGAGCATACGTAACATTTTGAAATGTCTGTAACAATATGTGATTTGAAATATCTGATTTATCTTAGAGATAAAATCACAGGTATTGCTAACAGTTTTGTTGTCGGATGCTTATACTCATAACTGAAGGAGTCAGAAGGCTCTGAAAACAAAGATGTATTTTCTTTCCGCCCAAGTTCACAGACCTCTTGAATTCTATCCATGGACCATGGCCACCCCTTGTGTCACATTTCCTTAAGAAAACACTGCTAATCCAGTCCAGACTGTTGAGAGAGAAAGAAACTCAAATGGTAACCAAACTTAGAACACACTGCCACATGTGTGCAACAAATGCGGCTTCAGTCACTTAGACATGGGGCGGAGAACTTGGCAATTTCTTTCTTCCCCACTCCGGGCTCTTTGAGGCTCCCTTTGTTTCTCTGCTTCTCAGCTAACAACATTAGAGCCTGACACTCAAGGCATGGTCTCTCCACTAGCACTGGCATCTGCATTGCCTGGGGGCTTGTTGGAAATCTTGGTTTCTACCCTAGATCTGCTGAATCCAAATCTGAATTTTAACCAGATCCCCAGGATATTTGTGTGCTCATGAACCCTATAGTAAAACATTCCTGTTAAGGTGTGAAAATGCTTGGGGATTTTCCAGCTCCAATCAGTTTGCCTGGTTGGAATCCAACTGACCCAGGCACTTTGGGTTTTTGTCATGTGACATGGGTTACTGAGGAGACTTGCGGTAGTCTGTTCTGAATGTTGATGAAGACAGGGCTGCTGGACAGGATGGCGTCCAGAATCTCTCCTTCTTCCCAGCATGATCATGAAGCGGGAACCAGGAAGAACTGGGAGATAGCTAGAGAAGGTAAAGTCGGAGCTTTGGGAAGTTAAAAGGGTTCTTCTCTGGGTTGGCCTTCAACCTGGACACTGCCAGAGTATCATGGCACATGCATGTCAGGGAGTCCCTGAAATCTCCCCAGAGCCAAGACCCTTCCAGCCTCATAGTCCTGCCTTATCCAATCTTACTGTTTATTCCAAGACCATGAGGCTACAGTTCCTGGAGTGATGGGCCCCAGTGGCCATAGGTAAGGCCGCAAAAAGGATTCTACCACCCTGCGCTCATACCTGCTCAATGGACACACCAACCATGATCTATGCAGTTTTTGTGGACTAGCATGGACCCCATGAACATCAGAATCTAAAGAAAAGGAAAGGCAGCAGCCTTAAAAGATCCTAATAACTTGAAAATGCACAGAGAGGAAATGGGCAGAGAGCAGCTGCAGGCACCGGCTTTGGCATGCTGCCTACCTTTGTCAGGGTTGTTCAGCTGGAAGATATCTGGGTGCTCGGGGTCATCAGGCAGCTGCACCATCCAGCCCACGATGGAAACCTTTTTGCCAGGTGTGGATTTATACTGGAGGAGAGCAACAACATAGCTGGAGGCCCGGGCCCAGCCCACCACTCCACAGGGGAGGCTGACCTGGGCCAGGCAGGCTCCTTCCCTCCCCTGCCATCTTCCCACCCCCATACTCCTCAGTTCACTTGATCCCTTTCCCACTCCCATCCTCCACAGTTCACAGAGGTCCCTTTCCCACTAGACAAACTCCAAGTATGAGAGTCTTTTCAAGGGACTTACATGTTTTCTGTCTGTGCCCCGCAAGGACTTGGCTCCGTAGTACAGGAGGGTGGATCCTGAGAGTATGACCCAGTACCTGGTCCACGAGGACAGCTACAGAGGAAGGGGAAGCTGAGTGATGCCACCAGGGGTGGTGGGGAGTAGAGGCCCCCTGGCTCTGTGATTCCAGACCCAGCCACCCCATCAATGCCAGTGCAGGCTCCTGGCCCTCCATCACCCCCTGGCAATGCCAGCTTCCACCAAGGACCAAGATGGGAGGTGTCTTTCGTCCCCTCTCTTGCTCCTTTACTCAGGGAGCCTTTCCTTTGTTCATTTCAAGGCAGTGCCAGGCATAATTTCTGAGAGTTCAGCTCGCTGCACACTCACTGCAAGCAGGGCCTCTGCCACACATGTGACTTTCTTGCTGAGACCTCTAGGAATGGGCACTATTTGCAGATGTGGAAACTCAGAGGCCCAGGCAGGGCTGGAATCTTTGGATCCAGGCCCTTCACTGCTGCCCTTGCTGCCCCAGGTGGATGTGGGTCTGCACTTACTGCAGGCTTCCGCCCTTCTTTGAGCAGGGTTTTTCTTCTCAGAGGCCCTTCCATGGTGGGCACCGCTGCTGAGTTCCCCAGAGAACAAATGCACGGGCCAGTGGGGCTGAGAAGAGACCATCAGTCAGACATTGTCCTGTAGGAGCTGAGGTCAAGCACCCTCTCACTCACTGGGGACCACAGGTGTCCCAGTGCCAAGTCTGTGATGTCCCAGCAATCCAGAGGACTCAACAGTGCAGGGCAAGGCCTGGAGGAGAGCGCCAGGTGATGACGCACATGAAGGACCCCACCGCCAAGGACTCCCACATCTGTCTCTCTGGGGCTACAAAGCTCCAGGCTTGGTGACCAAATTCCTCATAATCCAGACCCCAATCAGCACCTCCACCTTATCCTGAAGGATGCTTTTATCACAGCTGCAGCCTGGCCACTCCCTGGGGCTGGTGTGGGCTCCTCCACACCTGAAGAGCTAGTGCCTACACAGCCCCAGCTGTAGCAGCTCCTCCTTCTGGTGTCAGCCGGAGCCTCGGAGGAGCAGTGAGAAATGGAAGAGGCAGTGTGGAGTGGCAGACGGACACGAGCCAACACGCACCATTCCCCATACCTTTCCCAGGCTCTTCTCTCACCCTCTCCTTTGGGGACTCAAGCACCATCTACAGATCAAGGCATCCAAGGGCATGGCAGCCCAGACCTCCCTCCTGAGCTCCAGATCTGCCCATGCCCCATGAATGGCACCACCCCCTACTAGCCACTTCAGCCAGAAAGCTGGGGGTTTTCTTCTCTCTCTGATGCCCCTGCAACCTAATCAATCCCAAGGATGCACTGGGCATCAGATACTAAATATGCCTGACCATGTATCTTAGCCATCCCACCACACCTTAGGCCATGGGGCCTTCCTTCCAGCCACTGCTGAGTGTCCTTCACTGGCCTTCCTGGGTCCACACTGGCCAATACCTCAACCCTCCCTCTCTCCTCTCCTCTACCTGGTCACAGCACACCCCTTTCATGGCTCCCTGTTGCTTTTAAAATCTGAGCCACCATCCTCACCCCTGTTGGATGCAGCTGCAGCTCATCTCATGTCCCTGCCCTCTCTCATTCCTTCGAACACGGCCTTTCCTTCACTCTAATCACCTGGCTCTTCCTGTCTCACAGTCCACGGCTGTCCCTTTGCTGGGAGCACTTGCATTGCCCTAACTGTCCACTCCCAATTATTTGGCGAATTCCTATCATTCTTCCAGTCTCTTCTTCAGGGAGGCCTTCCCTGATTTCCCCAACCAAGTGTGCTTCTGCTCCTCTCCCTGAGTGCCCCTAACCTCCTCTAGGACAGCCACTGCACCTAGAAGTAGCCTCATGGAGGCAAAAGCGTGTCTGTTTCTTTTGGCAGCCTCTAGCACAGTGCTTGGCATCCAGCAGGCCACATAACAAGCTATGTGTTGAACAAATGAACACATGAACACATGAATACCTGTAGACACAGCTCCGGGTTCTAGGAGAATTCCGAACTGGAACCCGCCAGTTGGGCCCCAGGGTGGCATAGAGACGTCCCCTGCTACAGAGGAAAAGGGTTAAATTTTAGCAACAGCTTTGAAAGACCAGATGCTCCTTAAGGAGGCAAGAGCACCCCGGACTACATGGTCAATTAGCTGAGGAAGCGCCACAGAGCAACCTCTCTCCCAGCCTCCTTGGCCACACTGCAAGCACACCTGGAGTTGCCAGGCCACTAAACACTGCGCCCCTCAGAGTCCCCAAGACCCCAGCTAATTCTTTCAACTTTTAACTGAGTGTTCACCATTTTTCCAGGGTCAAGAGCATGACTAAAATCCAGGCCCGCCCACTTGCCTTGGCCTAGGGCTGAGATATTTCAAAGCAAACACTGTAGAGCCGAGATAGTCCATGGCTAGTCCACGTTAACAGTGCACACAGAATTGTGGGCAACCTTGCAGGTTGGGCCTGAGTGTCATTCACCAGGACGTAACTGGAGCCTTCTGTGTGCTACATCCTCTGTGCTGGACGGTCTCCTCTGCAGCTCCAGCCAGGTCTCTGCAAACTTGCTTTGTGACCTGCTGCAGCATCCAGGAGTTCGCACTCCAGGGTTACTCTGTTGGCAGCCCTCTGGCTTTCTTCTCGCCTGCACTCCCTGGCAGTGTGCCTTTCCAGAGCAACGTGCAGCTTCCTGCTCAACCTCTTTGCATGGAGGCACCCTCTTTCTCCTTTACCCTCTCCTGTCTTAGAAGACTCACTTCCTGTATCCATTTGATGTTCCAACCTTTCCCCAACCCTTCAAGCATGGCCTATTGTCTGACCACAGCTCTTCTTGCCCATTGGCTAGATGACAATGTAGTCAACTTAATAAAGTCAGATGAGGCCCGGAGTTCCTTTGTAAGATCCCCTTGGTCCTCCACGGTCAGCCGTACATTGCTGCACGTCGCTCTGTGACATCGGCGCCTGCGGGTGGTGTGGGGCCACCCCCACGCATTGCAGCAGGTACATCATACCTGCCCAGGGGCCTCTGTCCTCCCTCCAGGAAGGAGCTCTTCTTGATGACCATCTTGGGTCCACTGTCCAGGGACCCAATTTCAGGACTGGTGGGAGTCTGATGGTTAGCTGGGACAGCTGCTCTTGGCCCCTCAAGCCTCCTGCCCATCGGCTCTCTTCCTCTCTGGGTGATGGTGTATCATAGCATGAGCTTGGCTCCCCAGTCCTCTAACATAGTGTCAGGGTGGTCATAGGCTGACCCCACCCCCACCCCTACTGAGCTGTGGCAGAGAGGAGAGAGGCCCTGGTGTGCCCAATTCCCCAGCCACTGGCCCAATGGCACCTCCCTCCCAGAAAAAGGGGTGGAGTGCAGTGAGTGAAAGTGACCCATGCAGATAACTGTGAATCTCTGATTTTGGACAAGCAAACAGTCCCCAAAGTCACTGTTCCTGGCACCACATACTGAGCACCTCACAGGTGAGTGCACTAGCACAGCAGGTCCCAAGTCTGTGTGGAAGAAGTGCTGCTCAGGGGAATTGGCCATGGCTGCCTCCGGGGCTGCTCTTCTTCCAGCCATCACCAGGATTTCTTCTGAGCAGGGTTTGACAATGGCCTTTTCTGTAGTGAGATCCTTTGTGGCTTTGTCTGCTACCCAGGAACGTTTCCTCCTCATCTGAGCTGGATTCCAGCTCTGAGCTGCCACCTGTTTGGAGTTGAGGATAGAGTCTCCCTTCCCAGAGCCAGGCCCTCTGGCCCCTTTGCCACTTTTCTTCTCCTGAGTCTTTTTCCCTGTTACCTGAGGAGAATATGTGATGGCAGTGGACCGTCCACAGTTCCCACAGTACCTCAGACAGGGTACGGGGGCCAGCAGAGCTACCTTCTTCCCATCATTCTCTCCATCATTTTCTCCTTTTGCATGAGACAGTACATGGCTTTGTATTTTACAGATGTTTGATGGAATGACATCTTTGATGGAGAGCTTGAAACGAGCATCTTCCAGGCAGGCTAGCCTTGTAAGGGGCCTTTCCTCATGTCCTCCCTAAAGGGGTGAGGAGTGGACTGGCAGGGAGCACAAGGACACCCGGGGACACTGGGTAGCTCTCAACAGACCAAGCAGTCACTAGGCAGTGAGCGCTCACATGCTCTGATGCCCCTGCAACCTAGTCACGTGCATTCATGCTGTCACCGAAGCTTTGTGTAAAGCACCCTTACCCTCCCCACAATGAGGAAACTGAGGCTCAGTGATATGGATCTACTTGACCAAGGCATGAGCCTTGTAAGCTAGGACTTGAACCTGGGACTGTTGACTCTACAGCCCAAGCTCCTCACTACCCTGTGACATGCAGACTTTCAGGATAGAGGGAGAGGCAGCACCATCAAACATGGTGGGCTCTGCCACATGAACTGAGTGCATGTGGGGCCCCTTCTGGCATTCTGCTCTCTGAGATACCTCTACTTGTGGGTCCCCACCTGCACTCAGGCTGCCTGGGATTTGTCAGTGTCTGAGACAGAATGACCACAAGATTCTTAGGCCTGGGAATCTCCCAGGATGGGGCCACCTCCCAGGTCTCCTGGTCCCTTGGTGGCCCCAGTGGAGCAGTCTCCTGGCAGTTTTGGCTGCCTGGCGCTGAAGAGCAGCTGCCTCTTCTCAACTGCATATCACATGCCAACTACATACTTTCAGACATGAGCACGCCCAGCTTTCTGAGGGGGCCCTGTTCTCACAGTTTTAGATGAGGAAACTGAGACTCTAGGAAGCGAAGCCACTTGTCCCACCCTAATGGCCTGCCATTAGGGATAGAGATGCAAGTGTTCACAAAGGGAGGCTCACTTTCTGGTGTGGGTGGAGGGCCTGTGCCAGTGTGGCTATTCCAGGCTCTGGAAGTCAGAACCTGCTCTCTCTGGAGCCAGGGGAGCAACCCCAGGCCTTGAAGGGCGGCACCAGTGTGACTTTTCTCCAGGCCAGCATTTAGGACACAGAGTCAGGGGAAGTGGCCAGCCTTCCCTCCCAGGTGAGCCCTCCAAAACTGGAGGAGGACTGTGCTGGGCAAGGCAACTGGCTGCCTAGAAGGCCAACATTAGCACAGAGGAGCTAGGATCTTCAGCCACTGGAACCAGACAATCTGTAAGTGTATCTGCTTTGAGAAAACTTGTTATTTGAATGTTCAGGGCCAGAAAATGCAAAATGATCGGGTGGTGGTATCAGAGGAACCCAGAAGTAATGGATTCTTTTTTTTGGTAACTGAAATGGGGGCTTACAACCCAGAACCACAGACACCTTTCCCAGTGTCATTCCGGGAACATGTGGCTGAATACAGTATCCTAGGAAGGCCATCTGACTGTACCCTCTCAGGGATCTTAGGAGTCAGGAGAAGGAGGGCTGCAACAGGCAATTCAGGGAACCTGGGTCTAGGGAAGACATCGACTGGCAACAAGGTAGAACAGTCCCAAAGGGTGTGCAAGATGAGGAGTTGGAGGATGGGGTCATGGGATGATGACAATGATGATGAGATGATGGGATGATGGTGGTGGTGGTGGTGGTGGTAGTGGTGACGGTGAAAATGGGAGGATAGAACGATGACAGTGATGGTGGTAACAATGGTGGCGGTGGTGATGAGACGATGGGTGCCAGGCAGTGTGCTAAGCAGGATTTGTTCAGCATCTCATTTATTCATATAACACTGTGAGGTAGGCACTATCATTATCCCCACCTTATAGATAAAAAATCTAATGCTTGAAGAGGTGGAGTCACTTGCCCAAGATCACAACACAAGGAAGAGGAAGAGTGGATGGTGCTTTTGAGGTGGAAGCAGCCAGGGTACTGCCTGGGCCAAGAGCATCATGAGCATTCAGACTAGTCAAGTGGGTCTGAAAGGCCATCTTCGCTCCATCTTTTTCTAAGTACACATTAGCTTGTAAATATCCTGGGGATTACATTTCATAAAACCCTAAGTCCCTGTTTCTGGACTAGGAGGTTGAGGAGCAGAAAATAATTATGTTGAGGTCTTGGTAATCTTGGTCTTAGCAGAAGTAGGTTCCCTCCCTGATAGGGTCTGGCTGTGTCCCCACCCAAATCTCATCATGAATCGTAGTTCCCATAATCCCCACATGTTATGGGAGGGACCCAGTGGGAGTTAATTGAATCATGGGGGTGGTTACCCCCATGCTGCTGTTCTTGTGATAGTGAGTGCTCATGAGATCTGATGGTTTTCTAAGGGGCTTTTCAAACTCTTTTGCTTGGCACTTCTCCTTGCTGCCACCATGTGAAGAAGATGCTTGCTTCGCCTCCTGCCATGATTGTAAGTTTCCTGAGGCCCTTCTAGCCATGCTGAACTGTGAGTCAATTAAACCCTTTCCTTTATAAATTACCTAGTCTCAGGTATGTCTTTATTAGCAGCATGAGAAAAGACTAATACACTTCCCCTAATCTTCTGTATATAGAACCCCAGCCTCAAGTACACAGTGCCGGGGTAGGAGTGCACATGTGGAAGGGCCCAGGTGATGCTATTCATCAGCAGTGTCCACCTGCGCCTGCACACTCTGGATGGGAAGCCAGTCCAATTAGGCCATGGCTTATCCTGGCCACTTTCTGATGCTTCACCCTCATCTTCAGGCAGGAAGCTGCCACCCTGAATTCTGCTGGGCCCTGGGATGTCCCTTCTAGCAGGTCTTTTTGAAGGATATTTGCTCTCTATGGGTCAGCCACTATTCTCTGGGCAATGTCCCTGATTCACTGAGTGGGTCCCTAGGAACCACATTTGTATTGCATGCCCCCACACTTGTGACAGCTGAGGGGACAGGGCAACAGCAGTGGTCCAAGCCAAGTAAGTCAGATCTTCTCTCTTGGTGATTAGGAACCAGATTTGAGAGGCTTAAAGCGAGGCTCAGTGGCTGGGCAAAACTATCACATGTAAACTTGAGAGCTCTGAGGTATCAACCATCTTCCCCTCTGTGCACTGAGAAGTCCAGAAATCTTGCCTGAGAGAGACTGGGGAGGAGTAAAGCAGACATGTGCAGAGAAGGATAGACACAAGATGGAAGGAGTGTCCTGCCCACTTTCTAGCTGCTGACTCTGGAGAAATTGTAGGTATTGAACAGAGAAGCTGTGGGCAGAAATTTCTCAGCAACCATGAAGCAGCAGTAGCTGCCTGGCAGGGCTCAAAAACAAAGTCAAGGAAAAGGCCCTGGCACCTAGAGGCAGGGGGTTCTTTGTGCACTCTTCTCTCTGCAGACTTACCTCAGTCTGCTGGCTGGAACGTCAATTGCCAGACTTTAGTGTCTGCAGCTAAGGGAGTGAGGCAAAAGATCACATATTGGAGGGAAACCCAAATCACAAGCTGGCAATTGGGCTGCCACCCAGAGGACATTTGATGAAGAGGATCCTAGTGATCCCTCGATGAGGGTCCTGGGACCTGAGGAGGCCTCAAGCTCTGAGTCATGCACCAAGCTGGGACAGGTGGCCCAGGGCTCAGTATTTCTGAGTCTCATTCAGGAGAGACAGGCCAAGAGTTCAGAGCACTGAAGCCAAGCACCTGGCAGCAGGATGAACTCAAGGAATCCAGACTCAAGGGAGGAATGAGAGCCTGGGATCCTGGCCTCAGCCACAGGTTGGGGGGACAGTGAAGTCCTCTGTGGCAGTCACCCTGAGAATGGCCCTCTTTCTCCTTTACCCTCTTCTGTCTTAGAAGACTCACTTCCTGTATCCATTTGATGTTCCAACCTTCTCCCCACCCTTGAAGCATGGCAGCCAAAGGGACCCATCACCTGCAGGATCGCCTCCAGAGCCTGGCCTGACTCTCCCAAAATACTGCAGAGTTTGGGGCTTGAGAGGCATCCTTGTGACATGGTAAACCTGGGCATATGCCAGGGTCCTCTGATCTTCTCAAGGAAGGAAACAAGTGTCTTTTAAAACTCAGTTTTGGGGACAGCAGGCTTGGTGCTCTGTTGCCATGACTCCACTTCCTGGTGCCTCCCTAGGGATGTCAGATGATCCTGCCAGCTAAAACAAGCAGGTAAACCTCAGATGGGCAGAAACTACATCACCCAACTCCCGGAACACCCTACAGCACCACCCTATAGCACTCTGGGGGCCATTGTCTGCAGCGACCTCTTGGAGGAGCCCTCCCGCAGTCCAGTGCCATCCTGGAGGCCAGCAGGTACTGGCAGAAATTTGCCATCATTCCAGTCCATCCCTCCCTTGATGACTGAATTGCATTTGAGGACGTTTTTCTTTCCCCTACCTAGTCTTAGACTCCTGGGTTGCTTTCTTGCTCTAAGTAGTACCTATCGAGGGAAATCCATAAAAGTCCCCAGTTCAGGCTGGGCACCATGGCTCCTGCCTGTCCTCCTAGCACTTTGGGAAGCAGGGGTAGGAGGACTGCTTGAGACTGGCTGGGAAACACAATGAGCCCCCATCTCTACTGAAAAATGAAAATAAAAAATTTAGCCAGGCATGGTGGCATGCACCTGTACCCAGCTACTTGTAAGGTGGAGACAGCAGGACTGCTTAAGCTTGGGAGATCAAGGCTGCAGAGAGCTATGACAGCACCATTGCACTCCAACCTAGAAGATAAAGTGAGACTCTGCCTCGAAAAAAAAAGTTCCTAAATTAGTTCCTCAGATGTGCTAGATCTTCACTGTGCCTTGCCTCATCACAGGGCTGAGGAATGGAGGCTCAGAGGTACTGAGAGCTACCCAAGGGCCTGGGAGGATAAGTGGTCCTAACTTCAGGTTCCCTGACATGGCTGTCTGTGCCTTTCACTGTGGAAGTACATTGACAACTCGAGAGAACAGAACCTGCTATGGGGCCCAGCTCTCCTGTACAAGACTCTTACAGATACCACACCCTAGGCCACCTGTCCCAGCCTGGTGCATGACTCACAGCCCACAGCCTCCTCAGGTCCCTCCTCAAGGCCTCTCTAGGGTCCTGTTCGCTAAATGTCCTGGAATACTGCTTAACCATCCCCTCCTCCAGAAGCCACCTCTAAGCCTAGGGCCCAATGCAGGTTGCCCTGTTGGGGGCTCCCACTGTATCCTGCACAACTGCTTCCCATCCTTTGTGGACCTGGCAGGACTTATTTCAGACTCTGAGCTCTGACCCGTTCCCTCACCTCCTTCAGAGCAAGAAGAGGAACAGGCTCGTCAGGGAGGGTTGTGCACTATGCCCCCACAACCCTGCCCCAGGCGCACTTCCTTCTCCCATTAGAGGGGCGTCCTCTCATCCTGGGCCTTCCGAGGACCGCCATCCCCTGTTTTTCCCACTGCCTGCATTACAGCCCGTGCCTCACACGAGAAGTCCCTTCCATGGAGACTGGTGATTCCAACCAGGGGAGATGGTGGCCAAGTGTTTTGTAATCAACTTTGTGGCATTATCATATTTCAGTTGTTAAAAACTGATTAGTAGTCATTTCTGATTACGTCTTCTTTTATAAAGTTAAATGTTAATTGTTTTTCTGGATAGACTAGAAACATTTACCCATTGTGGAAAATCTGGAGAATACAGGGAAAATAAACTCACTCAATAAACCTACAGCCCAGAAATAGGATGAGTGAGACTCTATTTTCATATGCACATATATGATCGCCTCTGTAATCTATTTTGTTAGTCTTTTTAAAAATATCTCATTTAAAATACTTTAACTCATAGGCTGATATTCTTGTTTTCATCTTAGTGCCAATACTTGCTTTCCAAATCAGGCAGAAAAAGGCACCTGTTATCCATTACTGCCACTCCTGATTAAAAGCTCCCTTTCCTGTTCGTTTCCAAGGGGCCTGAGGTTGGTTGGGGATCATCCTGACACAAGCCCACAGCCCTCCTCACCAGGTCACTGAATGCCCTGCGGGGCTGCCTCCCTGCCTCCCTGGGAAAGCAGAGTGTGCTGGGGGCTCTCCTGCCCTCCTCGCCCCTACTCTCCTGGGCATGAGGTGAGGAAAACTGCTGACTAGGGACACTAGGTGTAGTCACAGAGAATAGCAGGCCCACTCCTGCCCATGGCCCTGTGGCCCAGGACCACCACCCTGTCCTCATTCTGGGTCCCGAGGGGAGGGGAGGGTCTTTAAGGCAGCCTGGGAGTTCAGAAGTAATTAACACACACCTTCCTGGGTCTCACTGCCCTCCTTGGCCCCACAGGCCCCGTGACCTTGCCAAGGCTGACACGGGTGAAGAGATAGGATACAGAGCAGAAGAGGGTCCCCTTTGTTCTCTGCACCCTTGTTCCACAGTCCAGTAGGAACAGGCCCATTCCTACCAGGGGCAGTACAGCGGTTCCACAGGCCTCAGAGGGCTCCAGCTCCAGTGTGGGAGCTCTTCATGGCCAGACACTTTGGGGATCCACTGGGCATCTGCAGCCTGAACTCTGGCTACCACCCAAGGAGGAGACATCTATGTGTGTAAACTCAGGGAAGGCAAACTCACCAGACAGGCACACAGGGTCCCACCCCTGGCCAGACAACAGGAACTGCTGCCTGCCTGCTGACAGTGGCATCATGGTGATGAAGGTGTGCCCTCAACCTGCCAGGGGTGTGTGGTGTGGAGGAACTGGCCCTGGGTCTCCCTGCCTTTCACCTTAGTATCTAGCTCTATTTCTCTTCCTAGCCTGGGCAGGCTTATTATCAAGGCTGAGGGGCAGGGGCTGGTGGCAATCTTTAATAGAAGACTGTGGGCCCTAAGCTTCAGAGCTGTGGGGGAAAATGCTGTCTCCCCAACCATGGCCAAGCCTCTTCCTCTCCTCTCTTACACCCTCATTTCTTTGGGTGGGGCCCAGGCATCCCCTGCACCTCTGGCTCTGGCTCCACAGTCTCTGTCTGCTCAAGCAGCGTAACATGCAGAGAAAGCTGTGTTCTTACGGCATCTTCAAGGAACAGCTGGTGGGGTCTCCAAGGAGGAAAGGCTCTTTCAGGGCAGGTGCCGGCCTTTGGGCCCAGGCAGGCTGACACTCAGTCTTCTGGGGAAGAGGGAATCTGCTTCCCATTATAGAGTAGGAGGATTTGGCCTGGAGGAGAGCTGAGAGTTGGGGGAGGACCTGGAGGAGCTAAGGATTGGGCCCATGAAGGTCAGGAATAGAGAAGACCCAGGTAAGAGCATGAAGGTGAGTAACTGAAAGAGAAGAGTCACATGTAATGAAGATTTTCAAGCTGTAAGAGGTAAATCTTCCCCTTCAACTTTCCCATGGACTCTCCAGGAAGGCCCAGAATACTCCTGTGCTTTGGCGAGTGTGGATTACTTCAGGGAATGTAAGAGGCAGTGCAGGATGGAGATGGAGGCCAGTGGCCAAAGGACCTGAGTCTTGATTGGAGTCATTAAGACTGCACGGAGCCTGGGTCTTGACTGGAGGCCCACTGGCATCCTCCAAAGCAGGTGGCCTCCTGCTCCCCTCAGCAAGGTGGGGCTGGGCCAAGAGCCATCCTCAGAGGATGAGAAACAGGACATCCTCCCTGCAGGGCTGTTTCCAGGCTGCTGGAGGCGGGGCCAAGCATCTGTACCAGCCATGAGACCATCCCCAAATCACTTACTCTAGATACTCAGAAGGATAGTGATCTAAATGCTGTGAAATGTTGTGGCCCACGGTGATCATGACGGCATTACAAACAGCATCATCCCCCTGGGACAAGGAATTCTCTCTCACCATCCTCCTTCCTATAGTAGCTCTAATCTCAGTCATGAGTACTTAGGAGGAACTATAGCTGCTACACCCTCAGTTACTAGTGTGGTGTCTGGCAGGGAGCAGTTGCTTAACAACTACTGAATGAATAAGTGAGTCCATGAAGGAATGAGCAAGTGAAAGAATGAATGAATGAAAGACAGGTTCAGGTCTAATTGCTATTCAGGATCTGTGACTATGTTTGCCATTTGATGTCTTCTCATTGGCCTGAGGCCAGGGGAGGTACTGCTTGCCTGTAAGCTATCTCCCTTAGGGTGTCCCAAGGAGTCCCCTGACTGGTGCTGAGAGTTCTGGAGTCTGCCCTTATGCCTGTCTGGTTCTCCTCGCCATTGCTGGGGTGGCTCCCAGGGTGAAAGCTTCTGGCCCCTTTGCCTGAGCAACCCAAATGGGTGGAGAGGGAGAAGAGAGAGCTTCTGAGGGCTGGCACATTGTCACTCCCCCGCCATCCCCTATCTTGGGTTTCATAGGGAGACAGACTGACTGTCCTATATGGCGCAGTCCCCGTATCTGGCCGAGGTGTGGAGCAGTGATGAAGAGGTGGCTGAGTGGTCAGGAGGCTGTTGGGTATGGCTCAGCTCTGTCCATACCAGAGTGTGGAGCGGGTAAGTCATTTCAACTCTCTGAGCCTTGTTTTTCACATGTATAAAATGGGAACACTATGAATGGCTGCTGTGCAGAATTCGGTATGTCTATGCATGCAAAGCACTAAGACAGTGCTTGGCATAGGCCATGCTCAACCAAGAGCACTGACCAGCAGACAGCTCCTCTGCCCTGGGAGGAGTTGCTAGGCAGCACCTATCTTCTCTGTGGTCAACTTATGATTATGGGGACCGAGGAGAGAAGCTTCAGCTCCAGAGGAGGAGTGGTGTGTGCGTGTGTGTGCATGTGTTTATACACACACATATGTGTGTACAAAAATGTGTGCGTGTACATGCATGCATGCATATGTGCATGTGTGAGAGTATATACACCCACGTGTGACAGTGATTATATGAATGTGTACACAAGCATATGTGTGTGCCTGTGTATGTGGGAGACTGCATGTAATAGGTGAGTGCAAGTATACAGTGTGTGCCTGGGTATATGTGAGTGTGTAAGGTGTATGTACCTGTGTGTCACTGTGAGTGTGCATGTATGCCCAGGGCCCTGGATTCTGGTGCAAACCTGCCTTTCCTGGACATTCTGTGTCACTGGAAGTTTCCCACCTCCCATCAGACCCTTAGTCACCATGATGCCCTTCACCCCTGGCGGTGCCACGGCTGTGAGGGCACCCCCTTCACAGCATCCCCTGCCTTACTAGAGACCACTTGGCACCTGGCACAGGAAAACACCAGTACATGGAGTATGTGCAATGGGATTCCTGAGCAGGAGGCCTGGGGCCCAGGGAGCCAAACCCTGGGCTGAGGGATCCTCAAGGGAGGCAGAGGCTGTGGCCGCTTTCCTGTCACCAGTGCCTAGCAGGGTGGGGGTCAATAAATACCCAAGGCCTGAGGCCATTTGGGTGCAATATTCTCAGATCCCCACAAGGCGGAGCCACATGCCCATCTCAAGACCAGACCACTTCTTAGGCTTCCATTTCCAAGAATCCATATTTCAGGCCAAATCTACTCCCAGGCCTCCTGCAGCTGTGCTGGAGGAAGGGCTTCCTGGACCAGAGGAGGTGTGGCGCTGCTCAGAGCATGGGGGCTGGGGCCCCGACACCCATCCTGCTCTTCCATCCTCCCTCCTAGTCGGCCCTGCCCCGGCAAGGGGGCTGGAGGAGCCACAGAGCAGCCTCACAGAGGCTGGCATGGGGTGGGTGGGACAGGGCCTGTCCTTGCCCGGGGCCTGTCTCCAGCTCCCTTGGCCCTGAGCACCTCCCCTGGGAGGGAGGCCATGCTGAGGCCACACTCACCTTTCCAGCCCTGAAGACATCTCTTCACTAAACTCTGAGCTCTCACTACTGCCTGGAAAAGGAACATAGGTCAATGAGCACAATGGCCTCACAGAAGAGGGGCCCGTTCTCCTGGGTCACCGGGCCCAGGTGCCTGAGCTCACAGAAGTGCCACAGAAACTGCTTCCTGACTATGGGAGCCTCAATGTACTCGAGTTTTTGCTGCTGCTAGTTCTAACTCGGCTCTGAGAGGGTCAAAGAACCACCCACTCCCCCACCCGCTGCACCATCCCACTGTTCCAGGCAGATCCTCTACTACCTTCCTGCTGCCCTGAGGGCTGCAGCTACTTGCCCACTGGCTCATTGGGGTCTGGGTCGTCAGGCTTTCTTCTGGGCCTGACCTGACTCTACCATTGCCTCCCTCTGGCCCAAGTGAAGCCAGGACTAGAATAGGCCTCACCTGGTGAGGCCAAATGAGTACCTCTTCCCCAAGGGTCACAGTGTAGCTACCTGGCATTAGACAGAAGCCTTGAGGTAGAGCCCCTGCAGACCCCTGGCCAGTGAAGTCAGAGAGGGGCTAGGCCCCACAGCTTTGCTACCTATTTCTCTTTCAGGCCTGTCCCTCTGGGCTGAGTGGGTGACCCTGTTTCTCCTGGGCTCTCTAAGACCTCTCTGAGGAGAGATTTTCTCCTGTCACCCAAGCATCCATGCACGATGCTTCTGGAGAAAATCTGAGGCTCTGAGGTTCGGTGGTCTTTGCCTGAAAGAGTACCAAGGCCAAGCACTGGGAAAAGGGGAGGCAGGGGATCCCAGGCCCCTCGGCATCTGTCTGATTAATGGCCCTCTTCACAGAGGGGAGGACCAGCCCGGCTCCCAACACATGCACACATGGCCACTTACTCAGGGCTTTGGGCCCAAAAAGAAAAACAGTTTCAATTCCCCAACTTGAGGGGGCGGGAACCTTGTGATTCCCCCGTCTGGATGCTGGACAGCTCTGCATCTGACTCCGTTTTCTGTCTCAGGAATAGCAAGGCCTGGACTCGGGCAACTCAGAAAGTTTTCTGGATATAAAACAGCTGTTCTGCTGCCCAGCTGAGTGCCACTGGGCCGGCATTTCCCAGAGGGCATTCCTCAGAACTCAGGTCCCATCAGACACTCCAAGGAAAATGGTTCCATGACCAAAGAATGTGGGAACTGTGGACTCTGATGCCATCGTAGAGGACTCCTCCCCACCACCAGCAGAGCTGTGTCTCTGGGAAGAAACCTGCATAGCTTTTGCTCAACCCAGCCTTTCCCCACACATGGAACCTGGAACTCTTCTCCCAAGGCACATCTTGGAACCGTGGACGCACTGTCCTGAGCCGTTGTATAACCCTGACTGACTCCAAACAGGATGACCTCCTCTGAGGACAGAGGCAGACACAGAACTTGCTTGTCAGACTTCCAGGGCGTGGGAGACAGCGACCCCTGGACTGATACTGCCCACGCCCTCTGAGACTGACTTGCTTTCACAGGGATGGGGGAGTGATTCCTGCCTCTTTCTCCTGTTCACCCCCACCCGCCTCCCACCCCCATGCTCTGGGCCTTCTGCCCTGCAGTCTTCACAAAATCAACTCCTAGCTCGGCAACTGGTCGAATCACCAGTCCTGGGAGGACTTCCTGCTAAGGGAAACCGACAGACACAGACACACAGACCACAGAGTCACAGGCACACTGAAAGGCAACAGCCATCAGAGAGAGCACTGGCCTAATGGCAGTAATGACAGGGTGGTGTCACCTTTCCTCAGCTGACCTGGACACCGCAGGGGGATGGACCTACAAGCAGAGCTCAACACCAGCCTGAATCCTAATGTTAAGTTCGTCCTATCCCAGCCTCAGCAGCACAATTTCTGTCTCTTCTGTTGCCATAAGCATCATGTCTGGTTGACACTCAGTGATGCAATTTCATCCATGAACATCAATTTTTTATCCTCCTTCCTTCTAGCTACCCAGTGTGAAGACAAGTATGCAGAGAGAACCCATTGGTCCACCCAGCTACCGTCCCTGGCAGCCTCTCCTGCTTTGCCCTGCAGGGCCCTATGGGTCATGATCCCTCAGGGACAGAAGCCTGACTGTGGGCCAGTCTGGTGTGGGGAGCTGCGAGCCAAGGGCAGCTGGTCTCAGGGATGTGTCTGGCTGCTTCTTCTACCTGCCTGCCATGCCACCAGCAGGATGAGGACAGATCCAGGTTTCTTCATGAAGCCCATGAGACTAGGAGACAAGGTTTCCCTGGCTCTGGGCAATTCCTGCAGGCAGCCACCTCTGCAGAGAGGTGAAGGGCCACTGGGTCCGCCAGAATAATAGTGCCACTGGGCATGGCACAGTGACACAGAGACAGACACGGAGCACACGCTGGGCCTACAGCCCACCAGCCTATCATGTGGAGGCCGGAGACGCTTACCTAGGGAGAGTCCATTGGTGACAGCAGAGGAGGAGGTCAGGGCCAGGCCCCTTCGGGGGCTGCGGGACTCTAGGACACTGTCGTCCAGTAGGTGCCTTGCTTTCTCCGATGGGAATGTCGCACTTTTACTCTCAACTACACTCAACTGACACATCATACTGGAAATGGAAAGGAAGAAAGAAGGCAAAGCTCCTTATCTATGGAGTGACAGTGGTTACATCTGCCTGGGGCCAGAGCAGATGGTGACGCTGCAGGAAAAAGGCCTCTACCCAGAGCCACAGTACAGCCCAGGCTCTGTCCTCTCTCACGGCATGACCCTGGGCAAGTCACATCCTTTCTCTGAGCCTCAGTTTCTCCATCCAACCAATGGGGATAATGATACTTGCCCTGCCTGTCTCCCAGGTGGCTAGGAGGCTCAAGTTAGCAGATGCTGCTTGTGAGTGATGAAGCACAGGTGAGGGGCAGTGGGCCTGTGGCCAGGGTGTCTGGTCCTGGAGTCACACACACCTGGTCCAGACCCTCACTCTGATGTTTTTCCACCATTGCAAGGAACTTCACCATGTTGAACCTCATTAGACTCATTCTCAAAATGTGTAATAATAGCACCCACCTCAGAGGCCTGCATGGGGACTCAGGGAGATCATGTTTGACAGGCATGTGCAAAGTGTCTAGCACAGAAGGCTGCAGAACACTCAGAAAGCAACTCTTTCTCCTCCAGCCTTGGAGCGCCTCTAGGGCCTGCCTGGGCTGGGCTGAGGCTTGTGCCTTAGAAGCGGTAGGTGAGTGGGTGGGTAGGTAGGTAGGAGGTAGGAAGGAAGGAAGAAGGGAGGGAGAGAAGGAAGGAAAAAAGGAAGGAAGGGACTCATCTGTTTGGAAGCCTGTGCCTCATGCCCTGGAGACACAGGCATAGTTGCCCCAGCCATGCTGAGGACTCACGCATGTCCCCGGCTGTGGGCCTCACAGGCTGAGTGAGCCAGCAGGATCACTGCTCTGTAGGCAGATGCCATGAAAAACTGAACACTTCCCTGGATGACAGTCACTGGTGTCCATTGGACTTTGGGGTTCTCCATGAGTCACTAACTGGGTTTGGGCAAATACTCTGATTCTCTGGAATGCCACTGATACTTCCCTGCTCTTCCCTGCACCCTTCCTCCATTAGCTGCTGAGCCTGAGACACCTGTCGGTGGTATGGAGCCAGTGCTGCCATAGTGCCCCTCAGCTCTTCCTGAGCACACACCAGCCTCAGGAAAGCATACTGGCCAGGATTCCAAGAGCTCTCATCAGCAACTCCCAGAACAGGGCAGGGGAGGGACCCAGCCAGAAAGTGTTTCCCTGCACTGTGCCCAGGCCCATGTGCAGGATGGTCTGAAGCCCTGGGGGAGGGCTTGCCCAGTCACCCACTTGTTGCCCAGGCTGTGGCTCTTCCTGTGTCTGGGGACTGGAGGTGTGGGGAGGCTGCCAGCAACAGATGTATCAGGACAGGTGGGCCTCCGGCTGAACCTTGCAGAACCAGAGCCAGCGGAGGGACCTGTGAACAGAGCAGAGAGAGCAACGACATGGGTTATGATGGGAGGGCCAGGGGCTGTGCAGCCCGGGTTGGGGTGTGAAGGTGCGCCCCGGGTTTGGAGTAAGGCAACTGGCCCAGCTGTCATAGGTGGGGCAAAGTTCATATGAGCCCTGTAGCTTCCTACTTATTTGCTATTGATTCTTCCCTCTCCCAATAGTAATTGTCAATAGCAACTGACTCCCAACTCTCAGGATGGCCAGTGTCCTGCTGTGCATGGCACCCACTGGCTGAAGGGAGGGCACTATGGATGGACATGGGGATAAGCAGCCTAGTCCTGGCCCTGCTTCCCCATGTCATGACTTATCCAAGGACACCCAGCTGGTGAATGACAGAGGTGAGACTTAAAAGTGCATCTTCTAACACCAAGTCCATTCCCTTACCCCTGAGCCCTTATATAGCCACTTTCTGGTCTCTGTGTACTCATTTAACAAAAAGGGGCAAGAGCACAGCTAGACAGATAGGGTTCAGATCTCAGGTCTTTCATTTACTACCTGGGACCGTGGATAGGTTATTGAACTTATCCCCTGAGCGCCAGTTTCCTGATCTGAAAAGTGAGAATAATTCAACTCACCTTGCAGGTGGTTAGAAGAAGTCCATGAGGTAATGTATGCAGACTTTCATAGTTAGCCCTTGTACTTAATTTAGTATGGTAATTATTACCATATCCTTCTCAACCCAGTCATGGGGCTAACAGGTCATCAGAGCCAGGGAGTTGGGGGTGCAAGCCTCACTGTGCACAATACACAGAGACCGAGGCTGAATCCTTCATGCTGGCCCTCTTCCAATATGTCAGGAGGAATGTGACCCTGGCCTCTGTGGCACTTTTTAGTTTCTGTGGCTTGGAAAGGGAGGTCTTTAAGGGAGGTGACTCCAGAGGCTTGCCTAGCTCTGGCTATCTGGGCCAGGCACTGGGGCTCAGCTGCTTCCTGCAGAGCACATCAAAAAGCACAGCAGATCAAGGGGCTAGGGGGACAGCCGCCTGGCCACAGCTGGAGAACTTCCCTGGGGGCCCATAAAGTCCAAGCCCTCACAGAGCTCTACCACAAGGCCCTACAGACCCACCAGTGGCCTACAGGTTCCCATGTCATCCAGCCTGCTTGGGTCATTCTTATTCTAATGTCGAAAATAATGACCCACACCCCTAGCCCATATACTGTGGGAAGTCTGGCCCTGTCTGACATTTTGGCGGATTCAGGAGGCAGGGACATCACCTCCAGTTCTGAACTCCTGCTGCCAGCTGGTTGTTCACTTCCCTTAAGTTGTCTCCTCTGCTGTTCCCCCTCCTTCCCCACCCCACTCTGCACAGGCACCTTCTTCACTTCCCGCTGCCAATCCCTTTATTAGGCCTTAGCCAACTTTCTTGTTCTCAATAACAGTCTAAAAATGTCCCTTCTTTCCTTAGCGCCCCCAGGCAACTCCTAGACTCCAACCCTTTCAAATGCTGCCACTCTTTACTTCAGTGAGAAAACTGGTTGTCAGGTGGGATCTCTCTCACAGCCACCCTTGCAGCAGCCATGCACACCTCCATTCACACTGGCCTTCCCACCACGCCTGGGCCCCTCTCTCCCCTTAGGTCCTATCCATCTGAGAATTCTCTGCCTCACTTTCCCCTTCTCCTCTCTCTGGCTCCTTCCCCCAGCCTATAGGCAAGCTCTAGTCTCTCTTTCCCTGTAAACCAAGGTCCTTCACTGAATCTTTTCCCAGCAAATGGAGGTCTGTGCTCTTCCAGTCACTCAGCTCTGACTTCTGTACCTAAAGACACATCCACCTCGCCAGCCTCCTCCCAGAGCCCTTGGCACCTGGTGCCACTCCTTCTCAAAATGCCCTCCTTCTGTGGTAGGTGCTATACCACACACTCTCCTGCTTCTCCTGTGCCTCTTCAATCTCTGTCACCACCTCCTTCATGAGCTCAGTGCTGCCACAGTGCTCCTCATGCTGGAGTTGTCCACACAGGCCTTCCTCTATGGCTCCTGTTTTTTATTTGATTAGATAGCTGATGACTCTTAAATCTTGACTACAGTCCTATTTTTATTTATTTTTTTTTTTGAGACAGGGTCTGGCTCTGTCACCCAGGCTGGAGTGCAGTGATGCTATCATGGCTCACTGCAGCCTCAACATCCCCAGCTCACTGGCTCAAACAAACCTCTCACCTCAGCCTCCTGAGTAGTTGGGACCACAGGAGGGTGCCACCTGGCCTGGCCCAGTCCTCTTTTCTGAGCCTGAGACCCATATATCCACTTCTTGGCACTATCCCTCCATCTGCCCTTTCCTAAGATGCCCCAAGTGCAGCACAACTGAGGCTGAGCCTGCAACTCCTTCTCCTGTTTCCAGTCTTGGCAGGAGGCACTGTGGTTACCCAGTCGCCTAGCCTGGAATGGGGGCCACCCTCGGCTCCTCTCACACAGCAACTTGCCTCTTCTCTCCTCCCTTCCCCTCCTCACTTGCTGCAGTCACCAGGGCCTCCAGGCTCTGCACAGTGCCTCCTTGCCCTCCTCTCTTGTCCCTGAGTGGTCTGGGCCCCCACACTTTATTGTCTTCCTGCCTCCAGTATGATCTTCTAAAATCTAACCCAAGCACAGCCTCCCAAGTATTTGAAAAATGTGAAGCTGACCATGCCAGCTGATATCATTGCCTGAAACTATCCATGACATGGTGTTCAAAGTTCTTCCTAACCTGGCCATTTAAGCTGATCTTAAAACCCTGAGGGAAAAGAAAAGAGACAAAGTAGTCAAGACTTGCCCTACTGGAATGCAGAACAAAACCTAAACAGTAATATTCAAACAGTTTGGTATTGGGCATGGATGCAGACACAGTTCAGTGAATACAAAGTGAGAGCCTGACCTGCTTCCTGATGGTGGCAGCATTACCAGTCAGTGAGGAAGGAAAGGAGGAACTTTTCAGGATAAGGGGCAAGACCACTGGGTTCCATGTGGAAAAAGACAAAATTAGAGTTCTGCCTTATGTTAAGCAAGTGGGTTAATGTCGCAATGTGAAAAGCAAAACTACTGGGAAAAAAATAGGAGATAATCATTATAATCTTGGGGAAAGGGAAGAAAGAAAAACACAAATTCTAAAGGAAAAGATGAATAAATTTGACAACATTTAAATGAAATATGTCTGTACCAAAACAACCAACCAAAAAAGACATCAAAATCAAGGTTGAAGGCGAGCCGTAGTCTGGGAGGAGGTATATGTCATCCCTAAACCAACACAGGATTAGCTTTCAGATATACAGAGAACTTCAAATATCTGTAAGAAAGGCCAAACCTCACAGAGACAACAAGCAAAAGATACGAAGGGCAAATTCATGGAACAGAATCTCCAAATGGCCAGTAAGAATAAGGAAAGATGCTTAACCCCACTGGTAATGATGGAAATGCAAATGAGAGTAAAAGGAGATATATTTTTATTTCAACAGAGGGTAAAACAAAACAAAAAACATGTAGTCTGACAATGTCTTGCATTGGCAGATGTAGGGGAATAGGAACTCTAGTTTGGGGCTTATATGAAGGTAAAATATTTGGAAAGCATTGAGCAGTGCTGAGTAAAGGAAGATACCCTGCCTTTTATACCTGGTGATTCTAATTTAGGTATTTACTCTAGAGAAACTCTTGCATATATACAGGAGGTGCCACATATACAAGGATGATCAAGGTAGCACCGTGCATCATTGCAAAAAAATAGAAGCAATCTACATGCCTCTAAGTAGGGAAATAGATAAATGAGCTGTGGTTTATTCATTCAACAAATTCTTTAAAGAGAAGAAACTGCATCTATAGGTATAAATATAGATAAGTCATAAAAACTTCTGTTTCAACCTGGGCAACATAGTGAAATCCCATCTCTACAAAACAGACAAAACTTAGTTCAGCATGGTGGTGTACACCTGCAGTCCCAGCTACTCAGGAGGCTGAGGTGGGAGGACTGCTTGAGCCCAGGAGGTGGAGGCTGCAGTGAGCTGATATCACATGAGTACATTCCAGCTGGCAAAATGTTAACTGCTGTTAAATACAGATGGTGGGGGATGGGTATTATCTGTGCATTAACAATTTCATTGTTTAAAGTGAAACTACTTTAAAAATAGTGGCCACCTATTCTATGCCAGGTACTGTTGCTGTGCTGGAATCTTCCAGCTGTTCCTCCACATTTGTCCTCCACCCTTCTCAACCCTGTGCCATGGACCAGGGGGCTGCACGTGGGGCTAGGTCAGGGGGCTGCCTGGCCCCCTCTGGCTCTTCACTGGGTTAGGCTGATAGGGAGCGGGCTGGGGCACTGCCTCCTCTGGCTCTCTCCCCGTGGGGTCACTCCTGAGAGGTGGCAGTCTGTTTCTATCCCTGGGGTACCAAGCTGTCCTTTGGGGTTCCCCTACACTCTGCCCACATCTTTGTGAATAGCCACATTGTGAAATTCTCCTTCAACCACCCAACTTGAGTGTGTCATTTGTGTCTGCCTTGACCATGCAGTGCCTTCACATTTAATCCACATGGCTCTCCTCCGAAGTATTATTAGCATTAACATGCAAATAGAGTAGTGGAAGCTCAGTGGGTAGGCATCAAGCATGCGTCCAGGAACTGGCTGGCAATGGGGTTAGGTTCACGTCTAGGCCTCATGAGTGCATGGAGTGGACACCTGGGACCACTTGTCCAGGACCTTCTCAGGAAGCACCTTCTCCTCCCACTGATGGAGACAGGGGAGGCAATGCCAGTCCAATGCAGCCTTGCCTCTGGCCCCAGCTGATGGGTCTATGAGTGGACACCTTCCCCAGGATTTTTGGATTTGAGCCTAGAAAGCGTTTGGGGACAATCTCTGTTCGATTAATGAGAAATAAAACCTAGATACTATGGATGGCCACGTTTCCCTGCTTGTGATGAGGAATCTGATCTGTGGTGACAGAAAAAGAAAGTAACCTCACTGAGTAAGGCCACAAAGTGAGGTAGAAAGGAGTTCTGTTTCAGTTGTTC